GAGCACTAAGACTAGTGTAGGTGTCTAGCTGCAGTGAATACCTCATCGCTCTCGAACTAGTTTAGGGCATATGTTTTAATTGTGTGAAGTACTTCATAGTGAACGCTCTACGAAGTACACGACATGGTCCGGCTTCTGTCCATACAAAAAATCTGCAAGGAAATCCTACTTCGTAACATATATATATACCTTGGCTTGATATCGGCGCTGTTTCTCGAGATGTCTAGCGCTGCGAAGTAGGCTGAGAAACCAACTAGTCAGCGCTAACTCTGCTCGACAGTGGGCTGCCTATTTCGTAACAGATTCTCCCAAGTGTCGAACGGGAAAGGGTCAAGTCGAAAGATTCTATTCCGGTAACTCCGTCCTCCAGGCTTCGTATCTTGAGCAAGTCGGCGATTTCTCTACCATTTCAATAGCTTGACCTTGATATATTCCACCCTTGCACCTTCATCCCGCTGTCTGTGTGTTGTGCATCCCATATGCGATAATATGCACCGCGTAAGTGCAACCTTGGTCCTCTTTTGCTCCCACGAACAAGGTCGGGATCTCCATCTGGTGGAGCTCAGGGGGCCACCCTTCCCGCGTGTGGCTTCCTGACGTTCCTCGTGGGGCCGCCCGCTGCTAGGGGGGCAAAGACGTGGGAGGGCAGCTTTTTGGGGGTGGGAGAAAGGGGAGGGGGCGGAGAGGGGACTTGCTTCCACACACGCGGAAGTAAGAGCCGAAGTAGGACGAAGGTAAGGGAGACTGCTTATGGGTCCTGAACCCCTCTTCCCTAGAGGCTCGATCAGCCTTGTGGAAGTGTGTTTCCTTTAGAGGGACGACGCAACGCTTGTAAGACTTGGAGCCTCCTCCTATCGAGAGTGCCCCCAAAATAAATCAGTATTTAAGATGGCTCCGTCCAATATCCGGACAAAATTACACGACAACCTTAACGAAGTAAACTCGGCTTCCCCCTCACGCATCACCACGAGGTACTACCATAACCAGAGCGGCTAGGTATATCTACGCCTGCTTTCAAATGATCATCCTGCAGGTTGCTCTCAAATTACAATTTCGGCAATCCAGATATCCTTTGCCGAGATGGACGGACGAATAGTGCGCCGTGCAAACGGAAGCAATGCAGCACCAACATACACAAAAGCCGCGATGATCGACGACCGACAGTAGACAATGCATGGCGTCTACAATAGCCAACAGGTTAATACTACGCATGAGCAGTCTCTCTCACACACACACTCTCTCTCTCTCAAACACGGATTCTCAAACTCACCACCATATCGGTAGTTCGCCTTCTCTTTCTTTCCGTTTTGTTCCTGCTCCAAGTCTAGGCCTTGTTTGAGGAGGGCACCAACGAGTCATTATTCCGAAGCCTCCGCGAACTTGATTTTTTTTGTCCCTCCGTCTCTGATGTTGAGGCCGAGTTTCCCTGTTAGTTGAAAGGGCAACCACGTAACTTTCCGGTAAGGTTTGTCTGATGTCGACCGATACCACTGCTCATTGGATGGGCACTCCGTACGATGGCGTTCAACTTTCAGCTTCAGACGAAGAGGATGAGCCTCATCTGGTTGTGTGGCATACGCCATCTCGTTTAGGGGGGAGTCTGTAAGTCCCAACAGCGCCAATTGATGAGTTGATCAGTCGTGAGAGGTTGGTCTTTCCTCCCAATGAGATGTGCCAGTTCCTTTGATTCATTCCCGACTAGCATAACCCCTTGGGATTATGAGAATTTTCTATTCTGAGCTTTACCTCCATGCACATAAACGACTACACTACTTTGTATGCGTGCACTAGGTGGGTATACCCCCTCGGCTTCGGCGACCTGTTCTAGCCCGTTCCAAGACCCTCAACCAACCTCCGGACCTTGCCGCCCCGTACGAGCTTGCGGATGGTGTAAACAATCCGCCATCTTGATCCAAAATCTCTTCAGCTAGAGCTACGATCGTGCCAATGACTAGCCATGACCATGTGGCAAGAATTTTTTTTCCTTCGCTTTTAAACTAGCTCTTGGCGCCAACTTATGAGAATACTTCGTTGAGGAAAGAAAAATTCAGTCAGCCACCTCACGCGGTCGTGCGACAATCCCGATTCCGGGAAGAATTAGCTTTTTCCGAAGGAAGCATCACACTTCCCGCCCTCCTCTGAAGGTCTTCCAGAAACTTTTTTTGGCCCCTACCCTTCTTTTTTTTCTCACAACTTTCTCACAAACTCTTTTTTCTTCCTCACAAAAAAATACCCTCATAATTTCTGTTTTACAACGTAACCCTTAGCCGAGGTACACTGAGTTGTACTCACGTACATTACACATTCCGCGAGACGCGGACACAGCGAGACAGAAGCAGAGGCAACTCTCTTGGTCCAGTCCTCTGTTTCCAATGCACTAGCGTAACGTCGTAACCAGTAGTGTCGAGCCCTCGGTCCGGCTACAGGGTTTCTTGGCACCGTCCGAAGCCGGATCAGGAGAGAGCAAGGCACATTTTTCACTCGCGTGCAGTAGTGTAGTGTGCCATCCCACGATAGCGCGTCACGATATCCGAAGGGTCACTATCCGAAATAGCCCCGGTCCGACTCGACGACATGGCATGAGCGGGAGGATAATCAGCTCAGGAATACAGCCTCCTATACAAGGCCGCAGAGTCACGGGGAGTGAAAGAAATGATTACTGTTAGAGTCTGCCATTGGATCAATGAAGATGAAGCGTTGCCCGAAGTAAACATACTCTGGGAACTTCGTGGAAGAGTATGCCGTAACTCTACGGATGTGTACGTACTCTGTACGGTGCCGAGTCTTTAGAAGAGTTGTACGAAGGATTACTGAAAGGAGGCACAGATTGATAGAGAGGCGGCGGGTCTCCAAAGAGATTGAAGAGGACAGCTAATCGTATGCCAGTTGTAAGCCATTATTTTCCATTCCAAAGCACATCAGCCGTCCGTTGGAATGCGCGCTACCACTTGGTAAGGGTAATGCTGCGAGCGCCAAGGTCGCGAAGATTGCTACTCAATCTTGGGAAAATAAAAGAGCCGCCTCGCTAAGGTGCGTCGCTATTCGCGAGATACCTTGGCGAGAGATAGGCCGCCCGCACGAAGCTAGATGCGGCTTATATGCTGTTTTAATATCAAAATATCACCTCCCGCGGCAGCGCAGCTTGTCGATGAGATGATAATTGGAGACCGTTATTGATATATACTCACGGGTTGACACGTACCCCATGGAGCAGAAAAAGGACCGTCGGCCATCACAGCGAGCAAGGTAACTCCTTAAACTTCTCCAAATGAAATCTGGTCATCGAGGTTTTGAACTTTTGCCATAGTCCCCCCACTCTCCTTCGATTCTATCCTTGGAGATCGAAGGAAAGCCATGTTCCATGCGTCTTCCGTGATCTTCAGATCGCCCTATGCATCGTTTCGCATAAAGAGCCCAGCAGAGTCGGCGCTCGCCTGATATTCAAAGTAAGCAGTCATCATTCTGAGAGCGCCAACATGCAAAAGTCCTTCCTTACCGCCGGGCTGATGGACACGAACACGGGCATACCTTCCCGCTTGGGGACTTCCCCTTGGGCCATCCTCCCCGTTCCGTGGTGCGACAGGAAAAGAGGTTGAAGGATGGGGGTAATAAGGGACACGGGGCTGCTACCACGTGTGATCAGTTTTTGCAATGATCGCCGCCTGCCCCTCCCCCATAATATTTCTCCCAAAAAACGCGGCCTTGGACGTGGTTGATGTTGAACCCGCATTGAGGCTCCGCATGTCCGCCCGCCCTTTCAGCCTGAAATCTGTCCCCCTTTCCTACAGCCCACACCCCTTCTTCCCCCCACCGTGCCGGCTCTCAGATCTGACGCCGTAGTCTGGGAACCGGGATCTCGACCATTGAGGCTGTTTTGAAAAACGCCGAACAATGAGTTGATCCATCTTTCCCGATGGGCGGATATCCCGATAGAACCACTTTTGCCCGCCCGTGCCTCCACCCCACCCGAACGCATTAAGGCTTGCCCCGTAAGCCAGCCCCTCCTCCTCAGCTGGGTGTAATACCCGTATGCTCACAATAACAGAGCATCACGGGGGAAAAACCACGGACCTCCTCGTGGCCCAAGATCCACGACGTGTCTTCCCAGAAATGGTCCCTAGTCTTCAGGGGGAAGGGAAAAGAATACTTAATCCGGCGAGAACAGACAGGGGGATTAGTTTCAGGTCGGGCAACTCTTGGGGAAGCATTATTCTTGTCCCCGCGATTGCCTCTTCAAATCGACCTCTAAATTATCATCTCAAACGTGGCCAACAATACGAAATAATCCAGTGCGAGATAGGGTATCGTTCGCGGCACGATTACTTGCGTATAGGCAGATATAATACCATGCTGAAAGATCCCTACCGCATCGCCGTCTGCACGCACGGAACCTGGGGCGTCGTCGGCCGAACATTGGCACCTCCAGGAACATACATGAACATGTAAAGGTGGCCGGGCGGCACAGGATGGGGGGGTGGCACCTTCAGTCTCACAATCTGAAAAATTCCGGATTTACCGGTCCGCCAACGACGACGTGGGATGCACACTCGAGATTGCGCTGTTCTCGAATAATTCCATTCTGGGAGGGTCTCGACTGGCGGGAGTGACATCGTCCATCGTCGGATTAACAACATTAACAAGCAACACGTGACTGGACGGCTCCGTATTTGTATCAAGATTTGTTATTATTATGGCTGGAGTAGATATGGGGAATATACACTACCTGATTTATGTCGTGAGTTGGGAGAGGAGAGCTGATTCTACAAGTAACACGAGTTTCATCATCTAAAAGATATGGCACGGCTTTTGGGTGCATCGTTCAGGCCACTCGATATAATCACGTGACATTCGTAAAATAGAACTCCCGACCCCGAAATCTGAATTGCTCTGATTGGCCAGCAAATTTCTATCTCATTGAGAGCTTCCAAGAAGAAAGATGATCGAAGATCGTAAGAGAGAGACATTCGTATAAAGAATCCTCCTCAACAGCACCCACCCCAATGGCGAGTCTAATCGCCACCAAGCCTTGCATAGGCAGACTCCTGCGGCCACGCGAGCTCCAGCTCGGCGCAACGGCGATCACCCAACCGTCGGTGTTTGCCGCGACACGAACCTTTGCGACCACCGCGCCGCAGTGCAAGAGGACGAAGCACAGCAAGACGAGAGATAACAACCGCTTCCGAGGAGTAAGCGCTCTCCGAAGGACGGGACTCCGCGAGCCCGTATCCGTGTCGAATGTGCCGCTACCTAAACCCGTCGAATTCCTCCCCAAAATCGAGGTGGACCCGAATCACGGCCTCTACGCATTCTTCGCGGGCCCCGACAAGTTGATGAACACGCCAGCGGAGGACAGAGAGCACGGACGGGCGTGGTCGGTCGAGGAGCTGCGAAGGAAGAGCTGGGACGACTTGCAGAGGCTCTGGTGGGTGTGCTGTCGGGAGAGGAACAGGATCTCGACGGCGGATAAGGAGAGGAAACGGGCCAATATGGGATTCGGAGCTGCTGAGTCGAAGAACAGGGACGATGCGGTATGTTTACCCAGTCTTTCAATCTTCGTTAATACTCTCGATTCCAGAATTGTTGAGCTAACATTTTTCTGTGTCTCCCTATTTAGGTCAAGCAAACGATGAAGGCTATCAAGCACGTCTTGACGGAACGATACTACCTCTGGGAGGATGCGTACGAAATTGCAAAGAACGACCCCGAAATCAACCTGACTGGCGACGGAGACGTCTACGTGCCGCTGGAGGATCAGGAGTTCTTTGAGGAGGAGGAAGCGAGGGCCAAGTCTGAGGCTCCTAAGTCGGCTCCGGCTTAAACGGCAGAATGGCTAGAAAACAGCTTGTTCTCTGCCTCGCACCAACAGCCCTTTGCCATAATGTCGGCGCTCATATATGATTTGAACTTGGAGATGGAGAGGATGTGCTAGAGAGCTCGAGCATGCAGCAAACTCGCCCATGGTTGTATGATATGTATAATACATAGATTTTCGCATTCTTAAAGACAAAATCAATGCTATTATTGTTTTCTTATATAGCCTCACTTGGTACAAACCGAGAGGATTTTACGGACTGCTGGGTGTCGTATGTTGTCCAAGCTTCTTCACATCTTGGAGATGGACGCCGCAGGAGCTTCGTTCTGAGAAAAAGCTATTATGAAAATGCAGACCTCGACGAGCCTAGATAGCATAGCATAGCATAGCATTCCGTATATCCCTGCATATAAATATACGTAAATCATTGTTAAATGAGTATTGCTCAATCGATGAAGCTATTCCATGATGGGAACTGGCGGCGGACCTTTTTCAACGGTTTTGTCGATTGCCGGCAACGAAGAAGGGGCTCGATGCAGCCCACTCTTGATGGGCATTACGAAAATGGCCAATCGAGACCCTGATGATCGCCCAAAATGCAATTGATCCCGACATGGTTCATGTGCAGATTAGCATGGGATAATAATATTGATCAAATTTGATTTCTTGTACCTGAGCCTGAGCAACCGGACACTTAAACAACTTAGGCGGTCAGGTCGAGGTGGCTGCCCCTCCTTGCTGCTCCTCGGTGCTAGCACCAAGCAACCCTCCCCTACGCTAAAACCTCCTCCTTCCCCTACCTCAATCTCCCCTTGGAAAGCATCATCTCAACCCGCAAAATCTAAAACGAAGTCTCCTATCTGAAAACCCCCTTTTGCAAGCGTCTTGATTTTCCTCTTTTTTACCCATCTCCTAATATATCTTCCGCAACCATGGACGAGATTGCCAAGGAGTACGATGTCATTGTTCTCGGCACAGGTAAGCTCTCTAAATGCTTGTGTCTCCCCGCTCCCTCCTTTTGAACAGCCCCGCACATGTCGATAACGGAGGGGTTGTTTCAAGCCCGACGACGAGGAGAACGAAGAGAATATCGTGAGATTTGGACGGATTGAGGATCTAACACTTGTGCAGGTTTGACCGAGTGCATTCTCTCTGGGTAAGAATATGAGTACTCGAGAAATAGCTGCCACTACCTTCCCTGCGGCAGCTCTAGCTAACGTACCGTTACTTCCCGCTTGTAGCGTGTTGAGTGTTAAGGGGAAGAAGGTTCTGCACATTGACCGTAACGACCACTACGGAGGGTATGTTAAAGTTCTTTTTGGCGATTTCGACTTATATCCTCACGGTTTGCATGGGGAACTAACTTGCGGTGTCCAGAGAGGCCGCGTCCCTCAACCTCGAAGCGGTATGCATCAGCCCCTGTGCCTTCCAATATTCCCCGCTAGCTATCGGCAAGCAACTGACGAGTTATACTCCTCCCTACAATAGTTATACAAGAAGTACGGAAACTACCAGAAGGGTCAGGAGCCATGGACGAAATACGGCCGTGTGAATGACTGGAACATCGACCTCGTTCCCAAGTTCCTCATGTCCTCGGGCGAGCTCACCAACATCCTCGTGTCGACCGACGTTACCCGATACCTCGAGTTTAAGCAGGTTGCCGGGAGCTTTGTTCAGCAGGGTGCCGGTTCCAAGGCCACAGTCGCCAAGGTCCCTTCAGATGCGGCGGAAGCTCTCAGGTCGCCCTTGATGGGCATCTTTGAGAAGCGCCGAATGAAGTCGTTCATCGAGTGGATTGGCACCTTTGATATCAAGGACCCTGCCACACACAAGGGTTGGTTTCTTCTATAAGAGGAGAGAGAGGAGAGAGTTGGGATTGAGCGGAACGCAAGAGGTTGGCTAACATGAGCAATGGGCAAAAGGTCTCGACATCAACAAGTGCACCATGAAGGATGTTTACGACAAGTTTGGCCTCGAGGCTGGAACCCGAGACTTCATCGGCCACGCCATGGCCCTCTATCCTACCGACGGCGAATACATCGACGTTCCCGGCAAGGCACCCGAGGCCATCGAGCGCATCCGCCTCTACGGTAACTCTGTCGCCCGCTACGGAAAGTCCCCCTACATCTACCCTCTCTACGGTCTCGGAGAGCTTCCTCAAGGCTTCGCCCGCCTCTCTGCCATCTACGGAGGTACCTACATGCTTAACACCCACGTCGACGAGATCCTCTACGAGGGTGATAAGGCTGTTGGCATCAAGGCTACCATGGCGGGTGCCGATGGCATGAGCTTCGAGACCAAGTCCAAGATGATCCTTGGTGACCCCTCTTACTTCCCTGGCAAGGTCAAGGTTGTCGGCCACGTCCTCAGGGCCATTTGCATTCTTAACCATCCTCTTGCTGGCACGAGTGACAGCGACTCTTGCCAGTTGATCATTCCTCAGCACCAGGTCGGCCGCAAGAACGGTAAGTGGCCTTGCATCGATGTTTTCTTTCCTCCTTCCCCCGTTTTAATAGGTTCTTGGTAGCTAACATACCTCTTAGACATCTACATTGCCACCGTCTCTTCTTCCCACAACGTCTGCCCCAAGGGTTACTGGATCGCCATCGTCTCCACGATTGCCGAGACTTCCGCCAACCACCACCTCGAGCTCCAGCCCGGTCTCGAGAGGCTCGGCAAGATTGAGGAGCAGTTCATGGTATGTTTTATTTTCCCCAAACGCTTGCATCTTTCTCGGCTTCTCTTGAAGCCCAGGGGAAATAAATACGTAAACAATATACTAACATGTTATCCTAGGGACCCCCTATCCCCATCTACGAGCCGCTCGAGGATGGCTCCAAGGACCACATCTATATCTCCAAGAGCTACGATGCCTCCAGCCACTTTGAGACTACGACGGACGACGTCCAGGATATCTACCGCCGCTGCGCTGGAGAGGAGCTCGTTGTCGAGGGCCTCAGGGAGGGTATCAACGTTGAGGAGTAAAGCTTGGAGGAGGGGAAAGAAGGTCGAGGAGAAGGACTATCTTATGACAAGTGTGGGAGTGTGAGTGAAGGGCTATAAGTGAATATGAATAAATAAATAAATACCTGACTCGAGACGCCTATAAACAATTTTTGAACATCTGCCGACTCGCAAAATCTAATCATCACAATGAATGATCTGCAATATAAAGAATCAATTCCCCGTTCTACTACTACTACTCCTACCACCACTACTAGATGTTCACGCAAGTAATCGTAAGAAGAAACCTGATAAAAATAAAGAAAGAAAAAAGAAATTCCCCGGGATCAACTTTTTCTTTTTCCCAACAAGACGAAACCAGCCAGCCAAACGCCTCCATGCCCTGGGCTTATTCTTTTTGTTTGTATATGTGTCATCGTGAGAGTTGTATAAAGGGAGCCTCGACATAGAGACACACCCCTTTTTAGTGGGAGGGAGAGGATGAGAAGAAGTAAACAAGTAAAACGGCGGATATTGAGGAAAAGGAGAAGGGATGTCGTTAAAAGCGAAATGAGAGGCTCAACGCCTATTCGTCTTTCCGATACCACGTTTTCCAGAGAACTACAAACACAAGCCACGTTAGTAAGAAGCATACTATTTCTCGAGATTTGCGATTGACTTACCAAGTGCTTAGCCAGAGACGCCGTCTCGTGCCTATCAGCCTCACCCTGTCTCGCCATCCTATTCATCTTCTTCTGGTTCAGCTTAGCAAGCCTCTCGGCCCTAGACCTAGCCGTCTCATCCGTAACACCGTCCTCTTGCCTATTCATCCTAGGCTGGCTCCTCGCCCTGCTCATGGCCCTAATACGCTCCTTGGCAGACTGCGACTGCGACCGGGGGGTATCGACGTCCATGGCATCCTCGGTGCCAAGACGGCTCCTGGTCATCGACCTGCCGCGACGGGGCAGGGTCTCCTGCATGGCGGGGACGAAGCGCGAAGTATCCACGCCAAGGACGTCGAGGGCCTCGTCCATCTCGGACAGCATCTTCTTGGTCTTGGACCTGGGCATGACGGGCCGGTTCTTTAGCCTCTTCTTCAACCTCGCGTCGTTCCTGATAAGCGCGATCTTCTCGCGGATCTTGCCGGCATCCTCGAGGACCTTGCGATCCTCTTCGTCCGTCAGCTCCTCATCGTCATCATAGTAACCCTCGGCCTCGAGACGCTCCTCCTCGGCTTCGAGTTCGGCAAGCTTAGCCTCGATATCGGGGTCGATGTAGTCGGCAACGTTCTTGCCGTCGAAGATTTCGGGAATCTTGTCGTATTTCCACTCAGGGTTCTCGAGGAGGTAATCCTTCTTGAGGTCGACGTTGTAAACACCCGCACCACCGTTTTCGGCCTCAATATCACGGGCAAGCACACGGCGCTCGGGATCATTCTTGTCGTACTTCTTGAGGCCCTTCACGGCCTCGGGGATGAAAGTCTCACGGGTAGCGCCGCCCATAGGCTGAGCAACGTGGATACGCGCCATGACTTCGGCAAGACGGCCACCAATGGCACCGCTGCTGGATGTTCCAGCCTTGAGCTTCTGGGACACCCTCTCCGCGATAAGCCTCTCACAGGCAGCATTCTTGGCCTCCTGGACACCCTCCTGGGTATTGCACGAGAGCTGCAAAATGTCGGCTACCTCTCCGGCCTTGACGAGACCTTGGATCTCCTCCTGCAATTCGGGGCTCAAGTCCTCAGGCTTCGTGACATCGATCTTGTTGATGGCGATGAAGACAATCTTGTTGGCGAAGAGGGGGCGGATACTCTTGAAGAGCGCAATCTACGACAAGCCCGCGTTAGCATCTCAGTCCACAGGCAACGTCGCGCTCCGAAGACATACCTGTGCGGACACAGGATAACCACACTGTTCACTGAGATCCATAAAGTAGAGGATGGCGGCTCGCAAATGAGCAATTGCTGTAATAGATTGCCTGTTGTCCAAGTCAATATGCGCATCAAAAGGAAAAGGGAGAATTGCCAGTACGACGTACATTTCAATGGTGTTCATCTCCTCGAGAGGGTGATCCAAAATTCCAGGGGTATCAATAGCGCAAAACCGAAGATATGAGTGATCGAAGTGTCCAACAAACAAACTCTTGGCTGAAAAAAAGGTTAGCAAAACCAGTCACGGTCGACCACACCCTCGAGAATATTGGGGCAGCTTACTCGTGAAGGCATAGGGTTGAACATCAACATCAGCCCTAGTAATGCTCTTCAAGAACGACGACTTTCCGGTGTTGGGGAAACCGCAGATCAGGAGGGTGCGGGTGTTGGGATCGATGGCCGGGAGACGACCGAGATGCTGGCGGACTTGGTCGAGGTAGAGGAGGGGCTCCTTCAACTTCTTGACGATGGTGGCCATACGACCGAGGGCGGCGCGCTTCAGCTGCTTGCATTGGAAGAGCGATTGGGCGTACTTGATGAGGCGGACATAATCGCGGGAGACTGTTTCGACGAGATGCTTGGCGGTGCTAAGCTGGCCGAGGGCGATGCGGAACTGTACACCATATTAGAACGAGACTCGACCCGACGTTATCCTAGCCTGCGAGTGACGTACGTGATCGGCATCGTATAGAGTGTTGAAAAGATCCTTGTGGAACGGGTGCACATCTGAGCAACTGAGTTAGCAATTGGGTTTATGCGCAGACAATATCACAAGCAGAGGTTGAGCGTGCACGGTATCCGCGCAAGAGGAAGCCAGGAGCCCAGAATGGCAAGGAATGAAGCTCACCATTCAACCTAGGGAAAGCCTCGATAATCTCTCCCAGCCTCTCGCTCAATGTCTCCTGGGTAAACTTGACCTTCCTGGTATAGAAGGCTCGAATACGGCTGATCTTGAAACCGGGGCGAATCTGGGTGGGAAGACGACGCTGGGTACGGCTCAGGGTAATATCAATAAACTCCTGGGCCGTGGGCACCGGAGGGATATCCTTGAAAGAGGTCCTCATGATGGGCGGCGTTGTGGCTGGCGTCGCACCTTTTCTGAGAGAGGATATTTGGTATATTGAGGGAGGAGGAATTGAAGGAAGTTGCAGGTCCCAAAGTATCGACCGCCCGTTTTCGAACGGTGGGCAAAAAATTTCTTTTCTTTCCTTGAATTTTTGGGGAAATGTGGGCTAGCGGGCTTATCTTATCAGGACCCACTTTTTGTCTGCCCCGCGTGCAAAAGTACTTTCAAATGTATTTTTTTTCTTGTGACAGTTGAGCCGGCCAAGTCCTCCTCAAGCAATATTGATTTTGATCTCTCACGAGCATTGATGGACGCCATGACGGGCACCTTATATTGATCCAATTACGACAAGAAATATCTAGCATCTACATTCTTATATGCTCGTATTATATGTAGATTTTACTCGGATATTTTAATGATTATTTTCCTTCTGCAAATCCCGTACAAGCCTCGTCTCGTTGCCTGTGAAATCGACTTAAGACAGAGAGATCTGATCTATCTGCCCCTCCTCTCCCCCCTCCTCCACCCCACTAAAAATTCTGTATCTAGCAACAGGTCGCATTCTCCTCGACATCCAACTTTCCACCTTATACCCTCAATCATACGCAGTTGATTCAGTTCTATCCTCTCGTGTCTGTGTCTACGTTTTGTCGCAATACCACCGTCACTCTCCCCCTCGCTTTCTTTCTAAATTAGCCATGTCTTCTCTTCCCCAGTACAAGGCCGACTTCCTCAAAGCCGCCATCGACGGAGGTGTCCTCAAGTTCGGCTCCTTCGAGCTCAAGTCCAAGCGCATCTCCCCCTACTTCTTCAACGCCGGCTCCTTCTTCCGCTCCGACCTCCTCCAAGCCATCGCCCTCGCCTACGCCAAGACCATCATCGAGGCCGTCGAGACCACCGGCCTCGAGTTCGACATCGTCTTCGGACCTGCCTACAAGGGGATTCCCCTCGCTACCCTGACGACCTACTGCCTCGGTGTCCTCGACCCCAAGTTCGCTTCCAAGTGCTACTCTTTCGATCGCAAGGAAGCCAAGGACCACGGTGAGGGAGGAAACATTGTCGGCGCGCCGCTCGCGGGCAAGAAGGTGCTCATTGTTGACGACGTAGTCACGGCTGGTACAGCTAAGAGGGAGGCTATTGATAAGATTCGCAAAGAGGGTGGTATCGTCGTTGGTATTGTCGTTGCTTTGGACCGCATGGAGAAGCTTCCTTCGCCCGATGGTGATGACAGCAAGCCTATGCCCAGCGCCATTGGAGAGTTGAGGAAGGAGTACAACCTTCCCATCTTCTCTATTCTCACCTTGAACGACATCATTGACGGCATGAAGGGCTTCGCTTCGGAGGATGACATTAGGCGGACGGAGGAGTACAGGGCCAAGTACAAGGCGAGCGACTAAATAAAAAATATGGACGTGACGATATATTGGCTAAAAAAAATACAAGAAAAATTCTAGAAATGTGAAATGACGAATCCAGGTGTGTGATGGAGCAACCGTCTATCTAAAAGGGAGAGCGAGTTTTTCTGGAGTTAGAAAGAGTTTTGCAGTCACAATGGTCAGATTCATATGGATCTATCTGTATCCTGTTCTGTTTTCCAAAAAGCACGATTCATGACTTGGGCCCTCATGTTCCGATCGCAGGGGGTCACAATCGACAGTATTCCAATCCAAATATCATGCCACAGGAGGAAGTTATGCGGTTACTTCCTCTTTGTTGTACTCGAGGACCTGCATATCTCATGTGAGTTGGGTTCAGGTTTCCGTGCATGCAATGACACGCACGTATGGTATATGTTGCAACCTTACCATGTCGTACCAACCTCCACCACCAAACTGAGCGGCACTGGGGCCCAGGAGTTCGAATCCCAACTTTTGGTAAAAGGGTATAAGTCGCTATCGGCATTGTCAGCGTCAACATCGTCGGGCATGAGTTGGCGATACAGGATATCTAGTAGTTAGTGCAACTTACGTCTTCGCAGAGCAACGCCACACGATCAGCCAACTTCGATTCCTCTATGTATCTAACGTAGGTCTTCATCAAGAGGGGTCCTAGCCCAAACCCTTGGAATTGAGGAAGAATAGCTAGCGAATGGAGGCAGATGGTCCTGATCCTGCCATGCTCAGTGTGACTTGTGCCGTTGGTTTTAGCATTGCGCCAATCTTTGGGATACGCCATGTCGGCATCCGTTACGACCGGAGAGTTTCCTATTGTAGAAACTGCATGGGCAACCAGAGCTAGCTTCTTCGCATCCGTATCGTCGTTACATGTCAACTTGGCTAGAGTGGGCTGGTCTATTTCTGACAAGGGACCGGAGTGATGGGGGTCTATGACAGCGAAGAGACCGCATGAGACTTTCGAGTACTTGGTTAAGCGATACGTGAACTAGGTAGTGTAGATATTAGTCCGTTAGCCCGAATTGCTCTACTTCGTATATATATGAGACATGAAAACAGTGTCGGATATCGGGACCATATCCATACAGCTGATGACACCCACCTTTTCCGGTGTGCATCTATGGTCTGGATTCTCAAATGCTGTTTCCACCACGCTGCAAGCGGGTTCGTCAGAGACGCCCAGTGGCCTGAACCTGAGTTCTAAGCCCTTGATCTTGATCTTGGACTCAGGTAGGCTCTTCAAGACTTCTTCAAAACATTGTTGCGCCATTGTTTTTCAGGGAGGGAGGGAGCTAAAGTTATTGTCGAGGAAGTTACTCTTGGCGAGGGTTTCTCTGTTTCTGCAGAAGAGGAGGAATCCCTGCAACGAGACCACTGATTCCCCTAGCTGGCTTTAATACGCTGTGTAAAGAGTAGCATTCGACCAAGCTTATGGAGAAGTCTCCCCGCTTGGCAATTTTAGCGTCACACTGTTGAGCGTTTAGGTGGGACGTTCCCCCGAGCCGGCAGTAGTCTAGATCTAAAGCCGAATTGCCCTTGTAGGCAACTCGGACGTCATCGTGTATGAATCACAGTCGACGCGATCTGAGATCCGATCCATCGAGAACGTGAATTTCTGATCCGCAACACGGAGCCGGACGCCGAGAGGATGATGCGAAGCAGGGATGGGTTTGGCCGTTCTCTCTTCCCCTGGCATTTTGGCCATGTCGCTTACAATCTGTCCCATAACTATAGACTTATATGTTTCCATCCAAAAAAAAAGGATCCCCGTTAAAATGGTTTCACATACAAGTGAAACCAGGTTCTACCACAGCCGTGACTCTGTGACTTGAATTGGTGGCGTGAGGTCAACCGATGGTCCGCTCCTTTGTGATATCGTCGAAGCTCCTTCGAGATGTTGGATCCCGAAACCACCATTATTAGCTCGGGGGTTATAGATTCAGCGCACGTGAAGAGGGGCTCACTTGGGTGGACTTAGACGAGGCACACAGACACAACCACCACACAGACACATATGCACATCCATTTACCTTACCTAACACCTATTTGGCTCACCCCTCTAGAAGGCCTAGACCACTCAAGGTCTGTTCAGAAAGAGTGGTTCTACATGGATGTGGATGTGTGAGCTCGGCGAATGTGTCAGAGCTGGGGTAACAGTGGGACGATCGTCCGTCCCAAGTTTTTCCCACCGGAGCCGATAACCGATATGCGAAAGAACTGAGCGCAAAGACATGCAGCCGTAAGCATCTACGTGGGGGCCGCATCTCTCGAATGTGTGGAAGCATCATTGATGGGCGTCTACTTCGGCAGAGAAGAGCACAGCAGGCGGGTTGACGATTGGGATCGTGAGCCGGCAGACCAAGGCGCATGCATGAAAAGATTCGAAAATCGACGCTATATGAGAGCCCGATATAGCAGTTGCGTATGCACCTGGTTGGATTTGGATAGCTATAGCTTCCCAAAGCGACACACAGGACTGAAAAATCCGGTAGTGAGGAGCTGTCGCTTTGGGGGATCATGTCGCCATCGAATGAAAACATCCCCAAAACGCCATTCCGAGTCGTGGTGGATGGTGCGGAACTGGGCAGCGGGGGCCAAAAGCATTACTCTTTGTTCACTCCATGTTTGGCTGTGTCTTCCCGGAGCTTAGAGCTTGGCGTACCCGGTAGGCTCAGGACACGATGGGCCAAACGGGCTTACGGAGTACGTGCTGGCTTCTTTTTTCGCTTCACAGCAAGAAGGATATTGATGGAATTGATTAAAAAGTTGTTTCACCTTCAACCAACGCAAAGCAGCGGTCGTCTCGTTCGGTCTGGCCAACGCATCAATGATGGCTATTATTGGATGCCCTGTATCCCAGTCATCCTCCACGCAAGCCAGCAGGGCTGAAGTTGAAGTGATGCATCAGATTCTGGAATGGAGGATTATTTGCCCCCCTGTCCTGGATCCAGGGACACTGATTCCTCCTCCAGGATAGCCCGGCTTGGCCGGCAAGATCCTTTGCCTGTGAGAAAGGAGGCTGAAGGAAAATTATGACTCTAAAAGAGGAAGATCAGGGTTTCCAAAATACATCTGGAAGTTTCTAAATCAGAGAAGTCCGCGTCCGACCTTTCCGCGTCGGCAGCCTCTGGGCCACGGAGATAAGCTGCTTTTGCCTGCCCTGGCTTTAAATATGTGGCCCAGTGGCCCCTCTAGGCAGACGTCATCTCCGTCAGCCTAGCTCAGTCACTTCGTCGCCACCCCATAATATTGGAGTTGTGTTACATTAGACTGTGACCGGTGTACTTGTACTATAAACCGGGGCAGCGGGGAGCGTGCTGTCACTGGTCTGCTGGACTGCTGGACAGGCCAGCCGTGCGATACAGCGAGGAAGCCGGCGGAGGCATCAAGTCACAATGGTCTTGAGTCTCGTTACACTGGAGATTTGAGGAGAATAAACTTTAATGATATGAAAGTATCGGACTCACTCCTCACCTCACCTCAACATCATTTCATCATAGCTGCGTTGCTGTCCTTCATTCTCTTACCCACTACCCTTCGCTAACTTAGCCTCTGGCAGCATCTGGCCAAGGTCCAAGCTCCGAGCTGTACGAAGGAAACGCTGAGCTATTGTTGAAGTGAGGTCGTGCCCCATGGTTTCTCTTTGAAGCAAACGGGGAAAAGATATTAGCGAGTAATTCCCGACAAAAGGATCTGCCGACAAACCAGAGACCATTATCGTACGGTACAAGAGAAGGAATCAAAAATCCTCCCTCCGTGGACCCGCAAACAGCACATGGGTCATCATCATGGAGCTTAGCGAACAAGATGTGTATTGAGACCGCGTAACGTGGTTGCCGTTCTGGGGCGGGAGCTTTGAACTTTGCCTTCTAAATTCGGGTTTGGGCTAAATGTACCCCTCCTCCCTCGTCCCTCGCCCCTTGGACCTTCTCTCTTGGAGCGACAGGCCGCAGCAGCTGGCCTGGTCAGGCAAGGGCCCCCAAATCCACCTACATAATCCACCTAATCCACCAAAATCCACCCAAATCCAGCATCGAGCTTGGGCCAGGGCAAAGACGACTGGGCTTGCCACCTCCCCCAAAAGCCCGGCCCAAAGTTGACTGAACCTTTCCAAGCAATCGGATTACCCCGCCACCACTACCGACCACTACGTACCACCAGCACCACCACTATTTGTACCTCGTTCGTCCTCCAGTCAGCTCAACTCCTGCTGCCATTGTCACAAGAAGACTGTCCTGCACCTGCACCTAGTCTTTGCACCTGCTTCTGCCTGCTCATTCTGCTGCTTCCCACTGCCTTCCATGCAATTCTAATTCCAACTCGGTGTCCTCCTGCTTACACACTTTTGATTACATCGTCCATTACAATTCACAATTCAAATTGTACCGCCAACCGTCGTCGACCGACCACCGAACCGTCCACCCCATCTCGCTCCCTGCGGCTTCTCAACTTCCCCATTCAAACGGCTGCTTCTCCTCATTCTTCCCTACCCACTTCTCTCCTGCACCTCTCTTACTTGGGTAAACACGTCCCTGACCCCATCTCGACCATTGGCACGCGGAAACACCATATCCACCATCCCCCATCGCGCTAGTTCCCGTCGCCGGCATCAGACTACCTTTATCTGACCCCGTGCAGCCAGCCACCTCCTCAGACTGATTTTTTTGAGACCACGTTCATCTTTCCCTCACCATCACGCTACCTCACGCACGCCGAAGCTATTCTCTCCGTGCAAACGAATCCTGTATTCACAATCGATTCGCGGCCCTCCGCAAGACACTAACTTTCTGGTCTGATATAATATATCCCACCATCCTGCCGACCCAAGGCGGTCAGAACAAGAGAAAATGTGCGCTTCCTTGCATTTCTGGTATTGATGTTATTCAGATAGCGTGTGCTGACCAACTCCGATGCTGCAGGCGTATCACGCTCAACATCACGAACCCCGAGGTCGACGAACAAGACCAGCTTCTCACACTCGATGTCTTCCCTGATATGACGGTAGCTACCTTGCGTGACTCCATACACCGAGAAACTCACATCGACCCCGCCTCCCAACACCTCTACCACAATGGCAACCTCATCGGCGATCCCTCCCGAACCTTGGAACAGCTCCAGATTAGAGATAACGACATGCTAGCCCTCCACGTACGAGACATGCGAGGAACCACAGGTCTTCCCGAGACTAGGCGCCCTGCTAGGCGGAGGGCTGGCCAGCCTGATCCCGAGGTTGTGCGACTGCGGATCCTAGGGTCCCCGACAGCTCGTCAGGAGCTCCAGCGCCAGAACCCAGAGCTAGCCGCCGCCTTAGAAGACCCCCAGCGTTTCGCCCAGATCATAAACGATCACCATGCGCGAGAAGAGCGAGAGAGGTTCGAGCGGCAACAGCTCATCCAGGGTCTCAACGACGACCCCTTCGATATTGAAAAGCAGAGGCGGATTGAGGAGATGATTCGTCAAGAGCGAGTCATGGAAAACCTTCAAAACGCCATGGAATACAACCCAGAAGGTAGGAATATCTTCTTCTTCTTCTTCTTCTTCTTCTTCTTCTTCTTGTTCTTGTTGTTGTTGTTGTTCTTGTTGTTGTTGTTGTTCTTGTTGTTGTTCTTGCTCTCTTACTTTGCGGTCCCCATTAGAATATTAGCGGAGCTAACGTGATGCCTTTCATTGTTTCTAGTCTTCGGTACCGTGCACATGCTCTACGTCAATGTTGAGATTAATGGCCACACTGTCAAGGCTCTGGTGGACTCGGGAGCTCAAGCAACGGTCATGTCTCCATCCTGTGCCGAGGCCTGCGGCATCATGCGCCTGGTTGACAGACGGTTCTCTGGTATTGCCCGTGGTGTAGGCACAGCAAATATCATTGGCCGCGTTCACCTGTTCCAGATCAAGATTGGCAGTCTCTTCCTTCCATGTAGCTTTACCGTTATGGAGGGTAAGGCTGTCGATCTTCTCCTTGGCCTCGACATGCTCAAGAGGCACCAGGCTGTTTTGGACCTCGCGAAGGATAAGCTCATTATACAGGGACACGAGGTTCCTTTCTTGGGGCCTGCTGACATTCCCAAGGACCAAGAAGAGGCGTTTGTGCAGGAACCCACGATCCCCGGCCCCGCGGGCACCAGGATTGGACAAAAATCCGGTGCTGTAAAAGGTCCTGATGGCCAAGAGGAAGTTGCACAGGGTACGGCTGGACCGGCGACCAGCACTGGGCCCTCCCAGCCAGCACCCCAGCCAGCGCCCCAGGCGCCACCGGCCGGTCCCGCGCAAGCCAAGTTCTCGGAGGACGACATTAACAAGTTAGTGATGTTGGGCTTCTCAAGAGAGGCGGCCGTCAACGCTTTGCATGCTACAGATGGCAATGTCGAGGTAGCTGCAGGTCTCCTCTTTGGTGCCTGAGCACCCACCTTCTTCTCGTCGCACCTCCTAGAGGGCTTCCTTCGAATTCAACATCTAGAAACCAATTCTTGATTTCATTTCAATGCTCTATAACAGAGTCTAAAAAACAAAAAAGCATTTGGGAAAGCATGCATGGCGTGGAAAGGGTCTCATGTGTGTTGGTGTGCGTGTTTGTGGAGGAAAACGATACATGCAATTTCTCTCTTGATTTGGGATCTAAACCAAGACGAATGGACACAACTTTGCGTTCGGACATTCTCGTTTTCACTTCACATCTCGGTCATTTTGTGAGCAAGATTTTTTACGGTTGTTTGGCCTTAGATTCGGGATACATTAGTGTCTAGATCAAGAATCGACTGGCCCTCGCTTGTGGGTCCTCATGGGTAGTTTTATACGTCTTGTATGTTTGTAAGTGAGGTCGAGGAGTAGTGTTCCGGATTTGTGTGGAGACTGGGTGATGGATGTATGATGCTACAATGAAACTGTCCTTTTTCCTGTCCTCGGACCGGAAGTAGGAGATCTTATTCACAACATTGCTAAGCCCATGTTCTCTTAAACGCTCTTTTTAACCACGAGGTGGCCTGTATCGTATCGTATTGCCACTACTTTGCCTTGCTCCTCACTCGAAACTCTCCTCGTTCACCTTAGTTTGTAGACACACGGCTTCAGAATCTTGCTCTCATCCACCTTCTCAACAACCGGTGGCCATTCTCCCTTCTTTCCCTTGCGCATACCACCACCGGCGCCACCACTCTCCTTCTTCTCCTCCTCGCCCGTCGAAGGCGAGGCCGCCTTGATGAAATTCATCCTCACAAACATCTTATTCGACATATCAACAGCCTCAAACCTCTCCCCCTTGAGCAAAAATCCGCGCTTCCTCAACGCCTCAACAAATGCCGAAACATCCGTCTCATTCCGCCCATCAACCTGTCCATCGACCTCGACAGCCAAGTCCTGCGAGAAGTCGGCTGCCTCGGCCGGTTTACCCTTCGCGGCGACGGCGGCCTTCTTCCTGTTGCCCACGCTATGCGCGACGGGGTTATTTCCGCCGGGCCTAGAGTTCACACGGCCGAAGCGGGACTTAATCTCCGCGATCCAGAGCTCGCCCTTCCAGTGCAGGATGCGGTAGGCCTCGTCGATGAAGTCGAGCCAGTTGGTGCCCATGAGGGCGAGGCAGAAGATGGCCACATTGACGGAGCCGTCTTCCAGCGGGAGGTTGGCGATGTCTGCCTTCGTCACGAGAGGGCTCGGGTTCTGCAGATCGAAGCTGAGGATGTTGAGGTTCAGTTTATCCTTTTCAGGCTGGAGGACAGTTGCGAGACGGGCGTCTCCGCAGCCTAGATCGGCAACGGTGCAGAGCCCTCCCGTCCTAGGCAGAGCCTGGACACCTCCCGGCGCGGCAGCGGGAGGGGGGGCGGGTTTCCGGGAGGGAGCACCCCGCCTCTCTCGCGGCGGTTGGGAGACGGCAGCGCGGACGCGCACGGCTTCGATGAAGCCGTCGACGGGGTTCTCGGGCCACACGTTGACCTGCTGGCGGAAGCCCGCGTGGTACTCTTCGAACATCTCGGGGGAGTCCTGGAAGAGCTTGAAGGCTTCGTCGGAGGGGCGGGTATAGAGGGTTTCGTTGAGGTGGCGGAAGCGCGCGGGGATGAGCTTGGCGCGCATGGCGGCTTGGAGGGGGGTGAGTTTGGGAGGGGCGGGGTGCGCGAGGGATGGAGGTGGCTTGGGGGGTTCTGATGTTGGGGTTGGGTTCTTGCCGGTTGGGAGATCATCGCTTTCCTTGGGTTGGCCGTCTTTCTTGGTCTTTTTCTCCCGCTTCTTATCCTTCTTATCCTGTTTAGCCTTCTTCTTCAAGTCCTTCTCATCGGCTTCCTCAGAATCACCGACTTCAGGCTTCGCTTTCTCAGCCTTGTCGCTCTTCTCGGTGTCCTGATTCTTCCTCAACTCATCATCCTCTCCCTTACCGCCCTTCTTCTGCCTCTTCGATCCTCCCTTCTCACCAGCCTTCTTCCCGCCCTCGCTTTTCCCCTCGATAACTTTTTCATACATGGACGCGACGTTCTCAGACGTCACGTCAGCGCCCGGTCGCTTTCTCTTCTTGGACCGGGACTTGGACTGCCCGCTGCCGCCATGGCCGGATGGGAGCTGCTCGGTTTTGAGGGCGTCCGTTGGGACGGACCAGCCCTTGACGGCGAACATGGCTGAGGTTGGGGGTGAGGTTTTCCTCTCTTTCGTAAAGTGTGATTATCAGGCTTCTAGAAGCCTTATTCCCGATTTATTCAGGGTTATGGGCTAGAGGATTTTAAACGCCCGGGATCGGGCTGGGAAATGAAACTTAGTGAAGCCAAAGTTGGAGCACATGCAGCCGTATCTCACTACAAGAAGCGGTTCACTGAAAATTTCTGCCATTGAAATTTCTCTGAAGTTGAGGTGTGGTTGGAGGTGGGGGCTAAGCAGCTTCCGCATGGTGGCGGCTGCCCACAGCTGTTATCTAACTACGCATCCTTCGTCTCACTCATTAAAGGAGCTCGAGATCATGGAGGAAGTTTGAATGAAGCAAATGACACGCAATATTGTTGCTACTTTTTGCTGTAAAATCGATAGCTTGAGCTGTATCTCACGTTTCTTCAAAGTGTGGCAACAATACGAAGTACTCTCACGTTTCAATCTCCGTCCAACCTTCCATGTCCAGAGCCTTGATCGACAGCGCAGATGGAGGACGGAGACATACTTCATTGAGACGGCAGTGTCGGATTTACATTTCAAGTTAACGCCGGATCTAGACCACCTCGTCCTAGTGTACCTCGTACGCGACAGGGCCAAGGAACTTGAGGCTCTTCTTTTTTTTAAGTGTACCCACCGGTTTTCTCCTTCAGGCGTTTGTGGTGGGCAAATGATGTCCCTGTTCTAACCAGGGTTTCTTGTGATGGAGAACTTTTCAATGTAATTTCTCCCGCCGATCAGATGCCCTTTGTTAGCTTCTTGGCCGTTATTTCGTAGCGTTATGTGGGTGACGAGAGACGCACTACTGTATCTCGTAATTATGATCATTCCAAAGTAGGACTAGAAGCACATCGGCATCGGCATCATGAACTGGCTAGGTCCTCATTTGTAAACTACAGCGCGATGCTACGGTGGCGGCTTGACTAGCACAGATGAGCACCTGGGGTTGAAATGTGACAGGTTCCCAGGAAGGGGTGGCTCAACATGGGTCTGGCCCTCTAAGACGGTAGAGATCAGTCACTTTGCCTGGCCCTGGCCTCTCAAGCCACGCGAGCCTTCCGAGCTTTATTACGACACGTCAATCTAGAGAGAAGATCTCGCCCACCTGAACGCATGAAAAGGCGTGGTCAAGGCGTCCCGTCTTGTCATTCTTTACCTCGAAGGGTGTTATTTTTCACGGTGAGCTGCTCTGTGGTGTGATGGGCACTCTCTTGCATCTCACAATTTTTTCATCCGCTCAGAAGTCCTTTTCACTGGACCCTGAAGTGGGTTTGGTAGGCAGGCGCGGCTGCTGAGATCAACGACGAAATCCTTGGTAGGTAGGCTGCATACGAAATAAGGTCCGCCACACTACACTTGAATTGGCCAGGCCAAGGGATCCAATGTTGTTCCTGCCCGGGTTTGACCGGCAGTCCTGTCCACCACATTCTTCGGATGTCGATCAGTTAGCGCGAAGCCTCAAGGGCCTGGCAACCTCTTCAGAATTAATGGTAATTATTACCGTGTTGTAGTTCCGGGACCGAGCACATCGAAATCGAGATCTAATTATTTCCCGGTGACTGGAGGACATTGGATGCATTGTAGTGTAGCTTCAGTGCAACCCTCCTCACGCTTCCCTCTGTCCTCTATTCACGGAGGTCCCGAGCTTTTACCCCCATGCCATTTCCCTGTCGAGTTATAACCTTTCATCGGACTTATGACATCTAGTATAGTCAGGGTCAACCGATTTCTGTGTAGGGCGAGGAGAATACCGATATTCTGTCCTGGAGGTGGAGTAGCATTCCCACGTCAACCGCAGGGAGAGGCGAGGTGATGATGAATACCCATACAACCTCACCTCCATTATTACTTCATAGCGGGCTTGTTTGTGCGTGTTCTACCGGAACTTCCAAACCGGGCGCAATCTCCGTGCCTCTTCCGTACTTACTTCGCATGAACCAAGTTAATTGGTGCGCGAAGTTTTACTTGTGCAGTACTTGATAGGGCCTTTCGTTAAAGCGCGGCTACCTGAAAGGCCAAGGCAGGTGGTTCGTCGGTTCGACGGTTATTACAGAACCGACAGGTCGGTATCACCGAGGGACGGAGGACAAAAAGTTGCTCCGTTCCGGTTATAACCCACAAGCACCGGTACGACTCGACTCACATATCCCGAGGTTCCAAGAGAGTCTAGACTTTGCGCAAAAGGAATGCTCCAACCTGTGGATCCGAAGGTGATGAGCAGCCCGCAGTAGAGGTGGCGAAAATTTTGTGATGGAGCCGGCCGGAGGGCACGGATGATCCGGCTTCCAGATTTTCCCGATCACAGGCTTTCACAGCAGTGGTTCTCGGGGGAAGCAGGCACCCCATTTCCCGACATCTCCTTAGATCAGAAATGAGCGGGATCAGGAGACGCAGAGGTTGGGCAAGACGAAAGGGAAAGCTGCTTGCTTGCCTTGGTACGTGACCTGAGACCTACTCCAGACACACAGATATTCATACTTTCTTTTTCTTCCAGCTGTTTTTTTTTCTTTCTTTCTTTTTTTCAAATATCCAACATACGCATACATTGGGTGCGTTGACTGTGTCCTGACGGTGTTGGGCGCCTATTGTAGGGTATCAACGAGCAAACACTTATACTTGCGTATTTGCTTTAGGCTGAACGGGAGGCTAAAAGATAATCGATATTCTTATTCTCCGGCTTTCGTCTCGGAACTGAGACAGGCGGCGAAGTTCACTGCCCTCCAAAGGCTTAAAGTAGAACAACTGGTCACTAGTGAAGTTCAAACTACAAACATAAT